CGCTAACTTAAAACCATCCTATAACTTTTAAGCTTTAGAAACAACTATTAAACGATTTATGCCAATTTTATATAATGCATGATTTTTTTGTAGTTTCTATCAATATTGTTTTAAAACAAACCGTGTGCCCACTCATGTTGCACTTAATTCGTTAAGTTTTTTTTAAGAACAAGTTTTCTCTTTGTCCGGTTCAAACCTGTTACATGTACGAGAGTAGGCGGACCCAGAATTGCTGTAGAAACGGTTACATATCCAACATTGCATTTTAATTTGCTCCCATTAAAAAAAAAGGATTTTTACAATATAAAACTCTTCTGGATAAATTGGTGAATTAAAAATTTGAAAATTTACAGAACAGTAAAATATTTTCTAAAGCTATGTTGATATGAAACTTATCCAAATAATACAACGTTTTTTCATTAGTCATTGTGATATTTTATAAGATTATTGGACGATTTCACTTGGAAATCTTCTTCTATGGTATCTATTTTGCTGAAACCGTGTCATTAGGTAACCACAGAAACTTTCCACTCGTCCAAGATGTCCTTTTCTGAATTAATGCGGTTCCGCTCTTATCTCTCCACTTGTTTGAAAATTTTGAAATGGAACATAAACATACGTTTTGACAAGAAATCGATCTTCGTTAAGACAGGGAGACAGAGAGAGAGAGAGAGAGAGAGAGAGAGAGAGAGAGAGAGAGAGAGAGAGAGAGACTAAGATAAAATTGCTTTTGATTTCGGTAAAATACAAAAGATTGGCAGTTGGAAGTAAATCCCACATCTATGAAAATGAAAACAAATCATTTTTTTCATTTTCCTTTTTTTTATCGTCTGGGTAAATAATTCAATCGCTTCTTCATACTTCAATTCTATCATTCATGTAATTATTTCGTCATTTATTGAGCCGTTCAATCATTCCAAATTGGAAATATTCAATTACTTATTAATCAAATCACTGTCATTTACTCATTCACACGTTCAGTCAAGCATCACATTCATCACTTGGCTTAAATACTGAAACACTCAAACAACATGCCACTCGTTAGTTCTAAAGGTATTCAACCATCACTCTTCCATATAGACCCACGCTCATGCGAAAAATCGAGTGACGCTCGTTCACTGATCACTCGTTGGTTCACTCATCAACTGACCCATTAAGGGCACTAACACATTCACTCAGACTAGAGACTAGTTCATCCGTCATTGTCTTAATAGCAATTCTGACACTCATGCAATAAGCCACTCGTCCACATAGTCGTTTAGTCATTCCTTAATCACTCTTTCATTAAGGCACGCATTCACATATGCATTACTTCGATGCTCATTCATTTGGTCAGTCATTAATTCAAACATGAACTCACTCACCAATTCAGATAATACTTCGCTCCCAAGAAAGTAATAGTTTTCTCAGTCATACTGTCACTCCCTGAACAGCTGACTCGCCAATTCTGCCACGCAGTGTCACCTTTTCATTCATTTGCAAACTGATTTGCACTCATTCACCAATTCAGACACTTACAAATTCAGTCATTCAAAAGCCTTGCCAAATACCGTTCTATGAACAGTCATTCGCAAGTGCAACTTACTCTCTAGTCCAGTCACGCAATAAGCAACCTCAACCTAATTCAAGCATAATTATGTTGCATTGATGTCATATTAACAAAGATCCATTAAGAAAGGTATAGCATAGCGACATTTTTATTATTAATAAAATTAAATTTAATTAATTAAAGATTATTCGTGAGTAATGGTCCATATATGTGACACTTTAAACAAAGATTGTGATAACAGTATATATCTTCAGATGGTTTAAAACCAATCATGTTTTGGATGGTTGGTTTCTTGGTTAGGATCTGATTTCGATTGCTAATATAAAAAAAATAATTCGATGTGGGAAATAAGTGAGCCTGGAGGAATGACGTGTGGCGTATGGGAAAGCGGAGCCAGCGGCTATTAAGCAGAGCATGACTGCTTTTTCTCCTTTCTTCTGCCCACCACGAACATTTTCCCATAATCAGCACCGCACAAGATGTTAGAGTTTATCAATTGTCAAGGACAAGTGATCGTCGTTACTTGGTGAATTTTTCTTTCGTCAAATTTTTCGGTGTTGGGGCCGCGACGGTTATCAGTATGATGATCGTGTAATCTGCAGGATCTGCTGAATCTGCTCCTCCTCCGTGGGAAAGAAAGGCGGTGATTTGCCGGTCCCGGGGCAACTGAAAAGAATCAGTTATTGTCTAAGAGGTGTTGCGACGGTGGATCACGTATAGAAAATGGAGAAAGCCGAGGTGATAAATGTCGAAAGCAGGGGGGCGGCGTCTTCGCAGTACCTACGTGCCGCGCGACGGCTCATTTCGCCGGTTTCATCATAATGACTCCTAAAACTGCAGAAGAGGAAGAACAAAACCACCAATCACCACTAACCCCGGAACGCGAAGAAACACCGAATTATTCCGATCCTTTGAAGATCCCGAATGTCGAAATTTCAGCGATCCTTGCCTCTTGGAAAAAACTCTCATTCAACCAAGATCCCTTACTATAATATTATAACATGGTATAATTTATCAAGCGTGAAGAGTTCTTTCGAAATATCGGATACAACTACTTCCACATTTCTTTCAAAAGGTGAATTGTGCAAGCAGCAAATCGCTTCAAGGAAGAAAATCTTTGCTGCCAGACAAACAAAAGTCCAGATCTTATAACTTATAAGTTACATAGCCTAAGGCGAGCGGTATTGTCCTGTTGGTGAAAACTTTGCCCAGTGATTGCACTGCGTTTCATAACTTGCCTAGCTTTGACTCGAAGGTCTCTGCGAAGGTCATCATTACGGATGTACCGAGCCTTAAACACGCCAGGAATTCTTTTCGATATTTCACAAACATAATTTAACACACATATAATATTGTATAATGTCCTTTTTTTAAAGCAATGGCATGCCTGGTTGTAAAAAAACTATCTTTTATGTTTTACAACAGTACATCTGAATAGTCGCCTTCTTCATTGTATTTGTTACCGCGTCCTGTAAAATTTTTCCGGGAGATAAAGATCAATAGCATAACCAGTTATGTCTATGCGTAGTTTTCAAAAGCCTGGAACACTTTTCCGACTCTTCATAACTGTTCGTACGTTGTGAATTGACGATTCGGAACGGTCAGAGAAAGGCTAATGTAACTCGGTCTTGGTGGCACTTATAAAACATCTCGAGGTGATTATAACATTTCTCTTTTTCTCACTTCATCTCACTTACTTTTCTATTTCTTTCCATCATCTCTTCTACTATTTTCTTCTAACTCTTATTCTCTCTGTTTGTCTGCCTCTCCCTTCCTCGCTCTCTCTCTCTCTCTCTCTCTTTCTCTCTCTCTCTCCTTCTTCCTCCCCCTCTTTCGCTCCCTTCAACTGACTCACTTTTTTTATTTATTTCCATCATATTTTTCTCTATTTTCTTCTAACTCTTATTCTCTCTGTTTGTCTGCCTGTCTCTTCCTCTCTCTCTCTCTCCCTCTCTCTCTCTCTCTCTCTCTCTCTCTCTCTCTCTCTCTCCTTCTTCCTCCCCCACTTTCGCTCCCTTCAACTGACTCACTTTTTTTATTTCTTTCCATCATATTTTTCTCTATTTTCTTCTAACTCTTATTCTCTCTGTTTGTCTGCCTATCTCTTCCTCTCTCTCTCCCTCTCTCTCTCTCTCTCTCTCTCTCCCTCTCTCTCTCCCTTCATCTCACTCTTCTATCGAGCTCACTCACCACCTCTTCTTTTCTCTCATCTTTTCTATTTCTTTCCTTCATATTTCCCTCAATCTTCTTCTGTCTCTTTCTCTATCTTTATGTTTATCTCTCTCTCTCTCTCACTCTTTCTCTCTCTCCCTTCAACTCACTCACTTTTCTATTTCTTTCCATCATCTTTTCCTCTATTTTCTTCTAACTCTTATTCTATATGTTGTCTGCCTATCTCTTACTCTCTCCCTCTCTCTTTCTCTCTCTCCTTCTTCCTCTCCCCCTCTCTCTCTCTCTCTCTCACTTCAACTCACTCACTTTTATATTTCTTTCCATCATCTTTACCTCTATTTTCTTCTAACTCTTATTCTATCTGTTTGTCTGCCTCTCTCTTCCTCTCACTCTCTATCTCTTTTTCTCTCTATCTATCTATCTATCTATATCTCTACATACGTTTATCTATCTATATATTATTATTTATCTATCTATACATAATTTATCTATTTTTTGTCTCACTCTCTCTTTCTCTATTTTTATCTATCTCTTACAGCAATATAAAATCACAATATTAATTTATTTAGAGAAAAATATTATTATCTGACACTTTCACATGAAGGGGATTCCAGTATGTTGAGAATATCAAAAGAAACTTGAAGAAAAGGTTTACTTTCATAAAACGAATGCGTTTATTCACTAACCATATCTGGGTCTGTTTTATAATAGGTGTAAGATTGCCAATTCTACTTCTATTCTTCGGTTACGCGCATTTTGCTATCGCAGATGAAAAGTAGGCTAACCCTTGCCTCAGGACTGACGTAAGGAAGAAATAGCGCTAATTAACTCGCCACATGCTAACAACATTCACACATCGTGATAAATGATAAAAGGAAATCCATTCTTACTTTCTACGGGAGAAATAGTTCAAAGAAATCTATATTAGTTAATCGATTGATACAGGGTTTCGCCGGGCTTTCAACCTGACCGCAGGGCATCGGGTCTGTCCGATTGCGTTCGCCTTTTAATACAATCGTACACAAAAATTTTAAAAATTCCCTGATAATTTTATCACGTGAGCCTGTTTTTTCAAAAGGGCGAGAGATGTGGATCTCGAGGTTTAATCCAAATGATAAAGGCCTTTTGTCCACGTGTCGAAAGTTGCGATTGTCCCTGGGCAATGTACCGTTTTAACAAAGGTCCCTGATAAGCGATCGTTTAAACGGATGCAAGATAACACCTTTTGGACCGCCTGGCACTTGAATTTATTGTTAATCTGATTTCTCTCATTTTACAGAAAGACGAGATGGTGAAGAAAGTGAGCAAACGCCACTACCTGGCCAGCCATGGCACCGGCTCCCTCGGATACGTCAAACCCTACAGAGGATATTCCACTGATGGTAACTCTTTTGCAACCATACATAAAATAAATAAATATAAAAGCAAAGAAATAAATAAGAGAGAAAATATCAAACAGAAGAGGGCTCAAAATTCCACCATAAAGTACACCTTTCAAATGAAGTCATATTTCTTAATTGTTTATTGAACATAGACATACAATACTTAGAAAAAACGGCTTTTCATAAAAAAACTTTAATGTTAACAAACATTGTAGATGGTTCTTTATTTTCATTTTATGTTTAAATACTTAAGTAAAACGTTTTCGTAAAATTCTCTTCTTATGTATTTTGTTGATTATACATTAGTATGTTTTTGTTTTTTTTAACATAGATATGCTTTTGGCCGTTGAGACACTAATTTACGTGACGATTTTCGCATCACGGAGGAGTGTGAATGGTTAGGTAGAGTCATGATTATGGTTAGGGTGAGGGGACGGGATATGTTAGGTAAATATAGTAATGGGGGAATGGGTTATGTTACATGGGGGTTAGGTTACATATTTATGATTCAATGTTTTTTTTGTGAAGCGGAAAATATAATACATACGAGTGCCTAGCTCGAGTTTTAAAACTCCGGAATCTCCCTCAATGTCGGACAAGAAAACTTGCGTTTCGGTCATGTGTTTCGCTTCTATCTTAACTATTTCTTCTATCTTATTATTTTAGTAATAAAACTGAAAAAAATATTTATTTTTAATTATCAATAGTGCCACGTTGCATTATGAAATAACGACCATTACACCATTGGTTAATGGTTAGGTCAGGTTGTTAGGTTAGGTTAGGTAGGATTAGGGCTTGATTTTGATAAGGTTAAATGAGCTTAAGACTACGGTAAGGTTAGGTTAAGTACGATTAGGGCTTTATTTAAGTAAGGTTAGATGAGCTTAAGACTACGGTAAGGTTAGATTATAGTAAATGATGGGGTTTGGTCTGCGAGTTGGCGAACTCATGTTGAACCAGCACATAGGCACTACTGGGTCTGTCTTCACTCGCGGGTTTTTTGTTTCAGTTATTCAAACGCGTTTCGGCATTACGCCATCTTCAGTGAAAAACTGTTTTTTTTTTTGTTTTTTTTTAAAGTTTTTCACTGAAGATGGCGTAATGCCGAAACGCGTTTGAATAACTCAAACAAAAAACCCGCGAGTGAAGACAGACCCAGTAGTGCCTGTGTGCCGGTTCAACAAGGTTAGATTAGTTAGGATTAGGGATTAATTTAGGTAAGGTTAGATGAGCTTAAGACTACGGTAAGGTTAGGTTTGGAACAGGTTGTGTTAGAGACGGGTTATGTTATTTATCTTGCCATGATTTATTACTAAATAATTACCATTAACCTTCGGTTAGGATAGTTTAGGTTTTGTTAGGGACTGGTTGTGTTATGTAGGGTAGGGTTAGGAAGGGATTAGGTTACATATCCATGATTCAATGTTTTCCATGAAGTAGAGGAAATATGCGAGTGCGAAGCTCGTGTTTAAAACTCTTCGGTGACCACCTATTGATACTAAGTTATCCACTAGGTGTCACCACTATTTCAGTAATGGTCTCGCCTTATACGCTGCAGCCAATGAGCTTGCAACATCTGTGTATGTAAGCAGGGGTTCGATCTGCTTAATCCAGACACGACGACGAGGTCTCGACACTCACTAATGAAGCCAGCTGTCAGCACTAGCCACAGCAACCGGGGTACTCACAGCATCATCTCTCGCCGACGTAGCTGCCTGTTGCATGAGTCCTTTCGAAGTCTATTGACTCCCGCTGCATCAACATCCGGCTCATCGACATCAGTCCACGGACTTCGACCATTAGCTCCACCCGCAACGCCGGCCCTTCTCAGGATCACCCGGTCGCTAAAGCTCTTTAGTTTCTGTGCTTTCTTGATACACTACAAAATCACAACCAATCCCTTCTTTTACGTCCATCACGAAGGTCAACTTCTGTATCAGTTCCTGGATGCAACCAGTTTTTAGATCCAACTACTTGTTTATACACTTATATGCCATCTATACCCAATTTGTTTAATTTATAAATGTTTATAAGTAGGTTTCAACAGAATCGGATCAATATTAGCTATAACTATTCCAGCCTCAAATGATAACGTTTTGAAACCTTTAATTACGCGCAGAGCCATCAGTCTCTGAACCTCCTTCATCTTGTTCTGAATAAACTTCTTTTTTAGGATTTTTCCACAAACAGGAGCTGGCTACGTGAGGATCGATTCAAATGTGGATGTTTAGGTCGTCCTCATAGCTTCACCAGGCATCCATAAACCTAACCTTGATATTACCAAGTGAAGGAGGAATTATTCCTTGTTTTTACGCAAAACAGAGAAAACTCGCATATTTTAAAATCTCAAAGTTTCCTTCAACGTCGCCAAATATTTAAAATTCAAATGCCTCACTTTTTTATCATTTTTGGTAATACAGGTAGGTTGAGATGGGAAGTTGGTTTCCGAGTGGATCGAAGTCACGATAGCTCAAGTGGTTAAAGCAGGTATTTAGCCGAAGGTCGTGGGTTCGAATCCCGATCGTGACACTAGCTTTTTCCTTTCAACCAATACCTTACATAAAGATTAATTAATTGAAAGAAGTTATTTGGTCAATCGGACCACGAAATATATTGGATTTAGTAATAAAGCTTAACAAATATGTATATTTTTATTTATTAACCTTGATAGGATTCTTAATGAAGTAATTAACTTTACATTGAAAATGAACGAATAGATCATACAAAAAGCTTCACTCTGGAGTTTTTTCTAAAATATTTTCTATTAAAGCGAACTAGACAAGATTGTTGTTTGAAAAAAAGAATAAATATCTTCCAATTCGACATTTGAGATGTACTTTCATTTCTCTATTGGGTTTCTGACGGCCTCGACGGTTCACTTTCGACCTCGGGGCGAAAGGTTGAATTGTAACATGGCTTCAATTATTTTTAAAATATTCAGCTTGAGAATGGGGGGAAAAAAGACGAAATCTCATTCTCAGGACGTTCAGGGATAACAAGCCTTATAGAAACTCTTAAGAAACTAAATACCATTCCTCCCAACATGCCGACAGACATTTTTTTAAACAGAAGATAGAAAAAAATATACAGTACATATTATATACAATAATAAATATAATTTATTTTTTTAATATTCATGTTTTGGGAACCTTACAGGCCCGAATCGTGAGAATGTCTGGTTTTTCTGATCACACATTTTTCTATACATTCATTTCTATTGCACCACAACTTCTATTATATCATTCTGATACAGTTGAAATAACAATTGTGAAGTTAGTTTTGTTGAAACTTTTATTTATTCATTATTGCTCTGTCTAGTTAAGATTTTTGCCCTTGAACATTCATTCTTCGGCTGATCGGGCGTGAGTCCTCTCGAAGGAGTTAATCCTTTGATTCCTATATTGTTTTCAAATAATTACAGCCATGAAGTTTTATATTAGACATGCAGAGGTAATAGTAACTATCACAGACCACGACTTCCTGTCTTTTAAAACATTTCCTTGGTAAAAGATTATTTTACCTAGGCCAATGTACATTCACTAATAATGCCGAAGGTTAAAAAATAAATTTCGCAAGGATTAATTCATAGCATAGATTCAAAGTTGTGTGTTTTTAATAAAACTGACCATCCATATAACCTAGCCATAGATCATCTTAATGTGTACAGATGCACAGTCAGGTTTTTTCATAATTTATTGTTTTATTTTACACAGGGGAAGAAAGCCAAAGGTCGGATTATATATCGAGGAAACATAAACGGAGCCGGAGTGCCCAGGACCGGCACCATTCACACCTGACAGACGGTGAGGCGAGTTCGGACATATACATTACGAGTGGGGCGTACAGGGCGCCGAGCGAGTACAGCCGAGGTTCGAGGCAGAGCAGGGCTCCAAGCCACTATTCCTACAGAAGCAGGCCTGCTTCGGTCGCTTCGACTTCTGTCAAGACCAAAATTGACAGGAAGCATGGCATGGTAGTCGAGACCATGTCTGCACCGAATCCATTCTGCCCAAACACCAAAGGTCTCTGTTGCCTCATGCTTTTACTCAACCTGGCTATCATACTCATCACACTTGGCTTCGTCATCGTTATACAATTCTTTGAACCATTTTTTGTCTGGTACGAACACCTGCAAGTCACTTATTTTTTTTTTATCAATTGTTGTTTTAAGTTTTGTTTATTATTAATTTTTTTTAAGGATTCTTGGGATTGTCTTTCTCGTGTTTGGCTTCCTCACACTAATCGGGAGCCTGATATATTGCGTAACTGTCTGTAGAGATGTAAAATCGCCCGAGGAAGTTGCCCGGGGGCAGCACTACTGGACACACCATTGGCAGAAAAACATCGGTGCCCCTCCGGAGATCCATTATGCTCCTGACTACCTCACTGACACCGACCACTACAGCGTATCAGAGAAAAATGGCAGAAGGTCAAGATACTGAGTCGGACTTTAGAGTGAACAAAGAATTGTACAAAGTAACACCAGAGTCATTAGTCCTGTAATCCAGACAATTTGTTCAATTAACACTGTAGCGTTTTGTACTTTGCAGTTACCAAAGCATCCATAATGATGATTTCAGATCTGTTAGTAACAACTCAACCTATAATTTACTAATTATAATTAGGGAGCGGAAATTTATGTAAAATAAAACTACATGAGATGGAACATGAATATTTATATTAGATAGTGAAGTACAGTATGGAATATATTTTGATAAAAGAAAATGATACCTATGATTTTTATGATTGATTTTTGATATAAGGTAAAAAAATTAAAACTTTCACTACTGATTTAATTTGAAAAATGTGACATAAGAAATTAGTTTTATTTGTATTCTAAGGCAGACCTAACCATTGCGTAGTAAAGAATTTTTTATAGTACAGACATTGGAAGGATTTACAATTAGAATTTTTTATAGTTGAGAAGGATTTACAATTTTTAATATGGAAGCCAAGAGTTCTAAGAGCATTGGTTTCAGATTAATTCAGGCTAGGAGTAAAAATTTTCCAAGTTGTTTTCTAAGCATTGAATCTACTTCATACATGAATTTTATATATTTTAAGATCATCTGAAAATAGCTGATATTGAATGGAACGATTTACTAAATACAAATAGAATAGGACCAAGATGTGATCCTTGGGGGACTCCAGATGGAGCTGATATGAACTGAAAATTTTTTAAATAAAAACTGCTTGATCTCAAATCAAATTTTTAGATAAAAAAACATCGACTGATGAGATATATGTAAAACTATAAATATTCCATTCCCTAATTTATAGTTTTTGAGATAAATACGACAACTCGTTATTCTCCTATGTTGTGTTATACGTTTGATGTTAAGTTGTACTTAACTTACTTTCAACTACTCTTAAACCACTTAAAATCTCTCCAATATGAAGTTAAATAAATTGTTTAAATTTAATAAATCTTTCCTTGATAAATTATATAATTAAAAAAACTGCAAAATTGTCAAAACAAAATAACAACACTAATTTAAGTCTAATTAACATACTCATTTTGTATTTTAACAATTTGGAAGAAATGTAAAACTTAAATTTCTATTTAAAAAACATTGTAAATATTTTTTTAAAAATAATACATGAAGGACGGTGTAAATAACAATTTTTGTCCTGCTAGCACTTGTAAATAATTTTTTTTGTAATATATATAAAACAAAAACATGTTTTCTTTTTCAATGTAAATAACATTTTGTACTAAATTTAGTTCCCTGGCACATTAAAATGTGCAGAAATAATAAACAGAAAATTATATAAAATGTACAAGTGATTAAAAAAATAAATAAATAAAAGTAAAACAATCCATAATAATTTTCCAATATGTACAAAGTATATCATAAAATTAAAATCTTGTCATTTATTAAATTAATGATAATTGTCGGTGTGAGAAAATAAAATTGACCGTTTTAAATTTTCCTATTTATTTTTTTAATTTTTAAGCCCCTTTTATGCCATCCAGTCTTATTTTTATTGGTATCAGTTTATTATATCGCTATTTTAAATAGCACAACACAATTGTGCATCAGGTAAATATATTTTTGTGAAATAAATAAATTTTAATTTTTTAAATTTTTTTCTCTTCACTTCACACATCTTTTACCTCATTTATCTTACCTTAATACACCAAGTATGTAATCCTGCTAAAATATGTTAACAAGTTGATAATTTGTCAGGCAACTCAATGAAACATAAGGTCAAAGTAAAGAAGAGACGAGATGTAAAGGAATGAGGCATTTCATAATTGTTGTTGTAATTCAGGTAAAAAGCAATACCATCTATTCTGCTTTCTACTTACCAGTTTGATCAACTGGGTTTAATTATGAAGATGATGGAGAAAATATCTTTGTATATCAGAATTGAGTCGGTCTTCAGATTGTTTTTAACCTTGGCTGTTTTGTACAGGCAGGGATCCCATTTACACTCGTTTCCAATTCCTTTTTGAAAATGTTGCACATAAATAAATAAATAAAATTGCCAAAATCAGCAGATATTATATAAAAATAATTTATGATAAGAAAAAATTACATAATTACAATAGCAAGAAAGAAAACAGAAAAACTATGTGTACAAGGGAAAAATAAATAGAAGCTCCTACTTGTACTGACTTTAGAAAATTCAAAATTTGATTTATTTGGCCTATGTAAAATGTTTTAATAATAATGAAACTAAGAATATTCTACTAGAAACATATAAGAAGAATTATGAATATCGGTTTTATGGAAAAGGCAAACATGCCGAAAAGGCATGCAAATAAACAAAAAATTTGTCTTAATGAAAAACAGGATAACTAGATAGAGGGAACAGAAGTACAATGGTTCGAGGAAACCATTTTTTGATGTAATACTGATAAAAGAAAATTATGAGAAATAACAATGGCCCATATAAAAAATAGATGCTCTGTTTTACCTGTAGATCACTGACTTGGTCACTACCACAGAAGACACTGTACAGGCTAGAGATGACCCGAAGAACCATGGAATGAGTATGGCAGAGACAAGTATGTTTAGGATGTGAGGGAGATTATTTATCGGATGAAACATTTTTATCTTTTAGGTAAATTCGATGAACACGAACATTATTTGAACATCTGTATTTTTGCAATTTTGGTCATGCCTACAAACGTGAGTTTGCTGGAAAGCTCACTAGCCTGACTGCCAGCAGAGTTGATTTACAATTAACAATGCTTCTTGGAAAAAGAAAAAATTAGAGAATAACAGACAAGATACATATAAACTGAAGATATTGTAAAAATGAAATTTATCATTGTCAGCAGAGTTGATTAACAATTAACACTGCTTCTTGGAAAAATAAAACATTAGAAAATGACTGAAAATATACATATAAACTGAAATTATTGTAAAATGAAATTTATCATCGAAAGTATCAACAGCACAGTCGATAGGTGAACCTCAGAGACTAGGTAGAAAAAAAACAACTGTAGAAGATTGTAAAAATGACACAGTTAAGTGGGACACATCAAGCACAGCTTTAGTCCAAAATTGTATGTAATTTTCTATTTGTTTTCTTATCACTTCCTTGAACTAAACTACCTTCCATTCCTACTTTATTACTTTAAAACTATTTCATATTATTATTACACAGTGACTTGATAATTTTTGTAACAATTCATAAGTAAAATATGAACAAAAATGGTATATTTTTCATACACAAAACTAAAACAACTTTCTCCTTGATATATTTGCAATTTGCTATTTGTGTATTAGTCTGTAGGAAATTTAATCTCACTTAGGGAACTTGAAATTATAAATATCGATTATTGTATCAATTATCTTCCATATTATCTCATTTGTGACTCCCTTGGCGAGGTGAGTGTACCAGTCTGAGTACTCGTTCTCCTTGACCGCTGGGACGACGACGCCATATGTCTGGATTGCCAGGTGAATGCATGCGAGTGCAAGGTGCTGGACCTGGTGTTCGATAACTGTTGGCGAATGGTGAAGGTCTTGGAGAAAGGCGAGCGACGCCTGGCAGATTGGTACAGCGTCCCAGGTTCCTTTTGGGATCCAAGTTCTGAGCGTGGCAAGGTAGTGAAGAAGGTATGTGTGTGGCATCAATCGTTTCGTCTCAAAACGTAGGACCCTCATTATTAAAAATTCAGCCTGAACGACTGAGTCGCGCCTTGCCCAGTACTCCTCTTTTAAGTCCAAAGAGCCTAAAACATTATTTTTTTAAACATAAAATTAACCTATAATTAAATGAGCCTTAAAGATTAGTTAGAGATTAAAGACCAAATTATGTTTGTGTTAAATGTTATGTAATGAAGTGAAAGTATTTATTAGCAAGAATGGAGGGACTTCTTTCCCATTAACCCTGGGGAATATCGAGAATTCTAGGGCAGTGTGAAAATGAAGTCTGGTGTGTGAGAATGTAATTTATTAGCATGAAAGGTAGGAAATTTTCCCCCACTCACTCTTAACAATGTCAAGTATTCTAGGGCAGCTTGAAAGTAAATTATTCGCATGAATGGTGAGGCTTTTTCTGTGTGAATGATGTCTGTTGTGTGAATGTAATTTATCGGTGGGAATGAATGGGGTTCTTTCTCAGTCACTCTGGAATAGTGAGTACTCTGGGATGGTGTGAAGTAATTTATTAGCATAAATTAAGAGTCTTCTTCTCCACCACCTTCTCACCCACCCGCCAGGTTACTCTGGGACAGTCCAAATATAATTTATTAACATGAATGAAGAAGCTTCTTCTCCACTCACCTCGAGCAATATAGAATACTCTAGGGCAGTTAGTGAAGTTAATTTATTAGCATGAATGGTGGGGCTCCTTCTCCAATCATCCTGAGGAATATTGAGTACTTTGGGGCAGTGTGAATGAAGTCTGTTGTGTGAATGTAATTTATCAGGGGGAATGAATAGGCTGCTTTCTCAATAACTCCAGAATAGTGAGTATTCTGGGACAGTGGGAATGTAATTTATTAGCGTGAATGAAGATGCTTCTTCTCCACAAGTACTCTGGAACAGTGTGATTAGCATAAATAGAGGGACTTTCCACAGTCTGGTAGGTGTGAATGAACTTTATCAGTGTAAATCGTGGAAAAGGAAAATAAAGAAATTTAAAGAAGAATAAGGCTTACTTTACCAGCCTTAAAAGTATCCACAATATATAATAACTGACCATAACCATTCTTGTTGAAAGTTCCTTTTTCAAAATTACCGTTCAAACAGTACAATTATAAAAACATTGAGAAAATTAATTTATTATATTTTGACATACTGGATCCTCGATGGAGAGTATGGTGTGCTACATTTATAACATCCCTCAGCCTGTGCTTGTCGTCGAGGAGCTTACCGCTCAAGTACAATGCTGTCGTTGCGATCAGGTATCTGTCATAGGAGGTGTTCACCTCAGCAAAAAACCTTTAAAAAAAATGCAATCCTTGAGAATAAGTTTATAGCTGGAAATGTTCAGACTCACCGGTGAAGAATGGTTGCTGCAGAAGCGATTGTGACCGGGGTTGCCTTCAGCTTGTATCCGCACTCGAATATAAACCGAACTGCTGAAAAATTACTTTCCTCGAATCTGTAGTCGACACGACAGGATTTGCATCGTTCCTCTTCATACTGCTTCTGATCCGAATCGGCACCACTTAACTTGAATAAGGGGATTTTTAGTTATTAAGTTATGAATAACATAAATAATCTTGGGGGTAAATTGGGCAATCTGAAATGAAGTAGTCATATTTTTATTTTATTTTACCAAGCTTTTGGCTTTTTATTAACCCTTCCTCAGGGCTTTACAGAAGGATCAACATATTTATTTTAATGGCATAGGCCACAATAAAACAATGTTTACAAAAGAAAAAAAAAAACCTGAAAGCTAGAAAAAAAGATAAGACTACTTAAGCTACTTAATTTTGGACTGCATACCTGATCCCAATCATAATAGTCCAGTAGTATGTGATCAACTTTGACATAAACAAGGGTTCTTAAAACTTTAAAACTAATGAAAGAATTACTTAATATGTTTGTTTATAGTAGAGACGTTGGACGGATTTACAACCATTAATAAGGAAGCCGAGAGTTTTAAAAGCATTGGCTTCAGATTTAATTCGGTCTAGGAGTAAAAATTTTCCAAATTGTTTCTAAGTATTGAGTTTGCTTGATACATGGATTTTATATACATTAAGGTCATCTGAAAATAGCTGGTATTGAATGGAACGGTTTACTAAATTGTTTATGAACAATATGAATAGAATAGGACCAAGATGTGATCCTTGGGGGACTCCAGATGGAGCTCATATGAACCGAAAATATGTTAAATATTTAAATGAAAAAAAAAAAAAAATCGACCGGTGAGAAATGTGTAAAATATAAATATTCCGTTCTCTAATTTATAATTTTTAAGATAAAGAAGACAACTCGTTATGCTTCTACGTTGTGTTATATGTTTGAGGTTAAGTTGTAGTTAACCACTTAAAATCTCTTCAATATAAGTTGAATAAATTGTTTAAATTTATTTAATAAATCTTTACCTGATAAATTATATCATTAAAAAAACTGCAAAATTGTCAAAACAAAATAACGACATTAATTTAAGTCTAATTAACATACTCATTTTGTATTTTAACAATTTGGAAGAAATGTAAACCTTAAATTTATATTTAAAAAACATTGTAAATATTTTTTTAAAGTAATGAATTAAGGACGATGTAAATAACAATTTTTGTCCTGCTAGGGCCCAAATTGGGAAGGTATATGGTCTGAAATGAAGTAGTCATATTTTTTTAATTCCAAGCTTTCGGCTTTTTATTAAGCCTTCCTCAGGGCTCTACAGAAGGATCAACATAATTATTTTAATAGCATAGGCTCACAATAAAACAATGTTTTAAAAAAAGGCTTAATAAAAAGCTGAAAAGTAGACAAAAAGATAAGACTCATTTTGGACCGCTTACCTGGTCCCAATCATCAGTCTAATTGAATATTGAATTTGTAGTAAATTTTGTTTTATATGATCAACTTCAACATAAACAAGGGTTCTTATAACTTAAAACTTGATGAAAGAATGACTTAATATGCTTCTTTGTGCTTCTGTTTTGGCAATTAGATTTTAATTCAAATTAATTTTTTTTAAATGTACATTTGTGTCTGTTTTTAAAATGTCCTGCAAGGATATTTGCCTTATTTTGCCTCACCCAGCTAGTTATTTAGGACTTAGGCCTCTTTTCAAATTAAACTACTACATTAAACATGCCATTTCGTCCATAATACATTTATTAATTACTCTGTTGAGCTGTTGTTATTTTTAGATGGGAAAATTCTCCAATAACGGCCCGGCCGTGAACTGGGGCAGTATATTTCGCCGACCCTGTTTGAATAAATGAATAAAATACGTGTTCATGCACCCTGGGCTGGGGCTTAGCAATTAGGACGATAAGGGGATAATGCAAGGGCCCTCCCTGGCTGCAGCGAAATACGCCCACGATAACGATGTCGACTAATCTCAATTATAATTAGATTCGGTTTAAATTTAACCTCTTTAATATATTCGGACAGCTCTGAGCACCGTTGCTAACATCAAATCGGAATAACAAGAAGAAATTAGTAGAAAAGATTAAAACCAAAAAACCACTGAATATGGATATAATTCCTGTTGATCGTTGTTTCACTATTATTTTTTGTTATTATCTCATCCCCCAGACCTATTAACCTGTTTAGTGGGAGTTTTTTTGGTGGCCCTGAGAAGGGCAGATGTTGAATTGTAATGTCGAGATGATGAATCGAGCCGGGACTGTGTGTGCCCTTGGCTTAGGTCCGAGGGCCGTGAGTCGGTTGACTCTGCAGCAGTAGGGACTATGGTAGGCGAGTGCGGCAGTTGGCCAGTAGCCAAGTCGGTTATGTCGAGAAGGCGAGATCGAGGCTAAAGTTGCGAGTACTTTTGCTGTCGTTGTCGGTGCTTCATTAGTGTTTGGCGAGAACCCGCCGATTAGACAAGTCTCGAGGTGTCAAGTGAGACCTCGTCGGGGAGAAGAGTCTGAATTTAGTGTGGCAGTGCCCTTGCTTATATACGCAAGGGCTTTACTCTTTTTTTGGCTGCAGAGGGCGAAACCATACCAGAAATGGTAGTGGCACCTAGCGGGTACCGTGGTAACTGCATCTGACCACCACAGCCTCCTTCCCGCAATGCCCAAAATCCTGGACTCCTTTTAAAACGCTCAATACCAATCCTTGACACTTAAAAAATCATTCCCTCTCACCAATTCGGCTTCAATCCTCAACATTCCACTATCCCACAATATTTAAAGTAGCCGACATCGGCCTAGAAAAAAAGGAGTCTGGGCGCGTTCTTAGACGTAGCGCGGGCTTTAGACAGGATCTGGCATCCACATTTCTATGTGTCATCATTGTGACCAATCTTCAGCAGTAGAGCAATTATAATGACATAGTAAAAGGAGTATTAAATTTCTCCTGGGCTATTCATTCCCCAAATTACAGTACTAACCTGTCATAAATCATTGACCTGACTGGATAAGGTAAATTTCTATGTGCCATCAGTGTGTCCAATCCTCAGCAGCAGAGCAATTATAATGACATAGTAAAAGTAGGATTAAATTTCTCCTGGGCTATTCATTTCCAAAATTACAATATTAGACTGGCATAAATCAATGGCCTGACAGGATAAGGTAAATTTCTATGTGCCATCAGTGTGACCAATCCTAAGGCTCCAAAGAAATTGTACAATACCACTTTATATCAAAAATTTTATATAAAGCAGTGTCAGACCCTCTTGAAGGGCTTTTTTGGAAAATGTGACATGTGTCATCTTTGTGGCCTATCCTCGACCACAAAAGCCATTGATAATTGAGACAGGATAAACACTTTAAATGCAGATTTTTGTTTTATGTTTCAGGTTCAATATATCTGATCGTTTAGGAATTTTCTGCTTGAATATTTAAAATAAAATGTGGTTTAAGTAATAAGTGAACGTCTAGCCCCCATATAGACCACATGATGCATGTAGAAGGAAACCTTGGGTTTAATCCGATAAATAATTTAAAAAAACGAATTTCCTACTGATGAAAAGTCCCAGTTGAATAATTAAGGGGTGGGAATGGGGTGTTATTCTGTTGGCAGTACTGGCTTTGTATCGGTTTCGATCCGTTGGGAAATGGGGTGGTTCAGTCGCGCCGACAGCCCGCGCCGGGTAGCACAGGCCGAGCGAAGGGAGACGACAGAGGGTGAGAAAGTTCTGTGAGAGAAGACAGGGCAAGGGGGAGAGCGCCTGTGAGCAACCTGTGTCGCCCGCTAACCACAACGGTAAGGATTTAAAAAAAATTAATATAAAATCAAAAATAATATTAAAAAAACGTGCACCTGATACAATACGATTTATTTTTTCGTCGGGATTACATTACTGGCTTCTTAAACCCTTTGAACACTGCACAATGGGAATTAAAATAAACTCACCTACGTGCTAAGACAAGCATAATGCTAAGTCAAAAAGTGCTGCCACCAAAATCCAATAAAGGTCTGAGTAGGGATAATCGGGTGAGAAAGCATCTTTCAATCCTCGATTGTCTCAATGTCTCCCATATTTCACTACACATTTAAGACAGTTAAAGTAAAACTCCTTAACTCACTGAAAAATTCGAGAAAAAGTTTAAATAACAATTCTTCCAATTTAAATATAACAAGACACAACATATTCGCAATTTTCATGTAGAAACAGTATGATTTTCATCATCGTATATCCAAATATAATTAATTAGAAAAGAAGAGTTAAAAAAATTAATAAACTTTAAAAACAGGGAGGAATTAACATTTAATTTTCATTAGCAGAATAAATAATACGTATTATGTATAAAGTTCCTACTAACATGAATATGAATGGGATTTTTTCTTCACTGAATTTTACAATGAAGTATAAATAAAAATTATATAATTTATTATTTTTGTTATTAATACTCGTTAATAAACATAGGCAAATTATAAAATAATTTAAATTAAATGTTCCACAGTAGAATAAGATGTGTATTATTTAAGTTCCAACTTTTGAATGTGGATCGGCTTCTTTTGCACATTGAGTCGTACATCGATTTATAGATAATATACATAAAAGTTATTAAAAAATAATTGTTGATAAACATAAGCAAATTACAAAAAAAATTAAATGTGCCATAGTAGATCAAGACGTGTATCATGTAAAAATTCATTTTTTTTAATAACAAACTATTATTAAATATGATTTAATCGTGGTGGAAGAATAGAAAAAAGTAGCATAGAAATTATTTAAACAAATAATACACTGTTATAAATATGATCAAGGCATAAAAATAAATTGAATTAAAACTGCCATAATAAAATAAGACGTGTAATATTTAAAAGTTCCAAATTTTAAATGAGGATTGGTTTTGTTCACATTAAGTCGTACATTGATTTGTAGATAAAAGTTATTTAAAAAAATAATCGGTGATAAACATAAGCAAATTACAAAAAAAAAAAATTAAATATGCCATAGTAGAACAAGATGTGTACCATGTAAAAATTATTTACAGTTAACGATAAACTTTCATTAAATTAAAATCGAGGTAAAAAAATTAATTAAATGTGGCATAATCAAATAAGACGTGTGGTATTTAAAAGTTCAAATTTTAAATGAGGATTGGTTTTTTACACATTGAATCGCCCATTGAGTTACTATATACAGGGTGAATTGCTACTCGTGCTACAAACTTCTCCAGTAGATTCTTCACCCTAAAATGAACAAAAAAGTTCATATTGTCCATGGTCCGATTCTCAACCANATATAAACATTAGGTTATATATACATAAATATTTAAAAAATAGTAGAAGATGATGAAGATAAGTAAATTACAAAAAATTACAAAAAAAAAATTAAACGTGCCAGAGTAGAACAAGATGTGTACCATGTAAAAATTGTTTACTTTTATCGACAAACTTTTATTAAATATGATTTAATCGTGGTTTTAAGAATAGAAAAAATAATATAAAAATTATTTTAAAAAATGTTAAACGGTTATAAATATAATCGAGGTACAGAAATAAATTAAATGTGTCATAATAAAATAAGACGTGCTGTATTAAAAAATTCCAACTTCAATTCAAGAGGATTGTTTTTTTACATATTGAATCGTTCATTTAATTATATAAAACAACATAAAAATTAATAAAAAAATAATAGAAGGTTTAAACTAAGCAAATTACAAAAAAATTAAATGTACCATAGTGAATCATGTAAAAAAATTTTCTTTTTAATGACAAACTTTTATTAAATATGATTTAATCGTGGTTTGAAGAATAGAAAAAATAACAAAAATTATTTAAACAAATGGTAAACGGTTATGAACATAATCGAGGAACAAAAATAAATTGAATTAAAATTGCCATTATAAAATAAGACGTGCAGTTTTTAAATATTCCAAATTTGAAAGGAGGATTGTTTTTTTTTACTCATTGAATCGCTAATTGAATTATGTATAAAACAACATAAAAATTAATAAAAAAATAATTGTGATAAACATAAGCAAATTGCAAAGATAAAAAATAAAATAAACGTGTCATAGAATGAGGCATGTATTATGTGAAAGTTATTACTTTTGAAGATGTGCACCTCCCAGCTATCTGGCACAAGTTATTCACTTAATGATTTAAAAACTTTATTTCTAAAAACATAGTTCGGTAATTTATTGTTTTAAAATTATATCTGGCAATGTGTATTAGTTATTTTATATTTTTTTTGTGTTTGAAAGTTCTATTTTTATTTTATTTTGTTAAAATATTTTGTATCATTTATTTTTTGTGGCTCAGAACTACTTTTTTACATGGTATACGTCTTATTCATAAAAAATAAAATTAATATAGTGGACTTTTAATGGGTTGTGATTGGAAAACTGAAAATAATTTTCAAATAATTAAGGTTTTTAGTTGAGATAAAAATTAATTAATTGAAATATATTAATTGGTCAAGCGGACCAGAAAACTAGTGAATTTAATAATTTTCAAAAATGAGACTAGATTTAAATATACAAACAAAAAAGGAGTAATTTATTTGGTATTCCACCGGCCGTAAAACAAAGTTCCTAACGATCAGATTGATTTTACTGATGATGGCATGACACGAAACGGGACTACAATAGCGCAAGATCGATAAAGATAGGATAACTCGATTTTATTGAAAAACCACGACACGCTTGGTAGATACGACATCAAAAAATTGTAACATGTCATTCCTTCGGTTCTTGTTAATTTACGGCGGTTTTTTGTTCGACAAACAAAGCGTCGTTTCGTCATAGATTAAGGGTTTTTCCTCCAAGACCGAAACGAACCCGTCCAAAGATAAACTGGTCCCTGGACAAAGCCATTGTTGTTCCTAAGTCCCATCGGGCCCTTCAAAGGACACCCAGTTGAAGTTCAAAGCGGAAAACAACTCTGGGAACGTTCTCAACCGAGAAAGACCGGATCAATTATTCACGAGGAAGGGAAATTATTCGATTCAAGAGAAACTTCTATTTACATTTTATAAATAAATGTTTTGAAATTCTAAATTTAAAAAACAAAATCACTAACATATACAGGGTGTACTTTTTATATGGCCCGACTTAATTTCTTTTGAACCAATGACATCACAAAATACGTGTTTAATATTTTTTAGTCAAATTTTTACCCTTTTCTGGACAAAAAATGTATGGGTGCCTTAAGCCCAGTTCAACTTCAACATTTTAAATACTGCACATCCTGACACATAATTTTAAAGGATGTTTTACGCTGAAAATGGTGCAATCGGATATTAAATTGGTCAAAAAATGACAACGTTATGGAAGAAAATGTGAAAAAACGCATTTCGTTTGTTTCGTTGTTAATTCCAATAATTTGCTTCTTCTATAAGTAAACATTAATTGCCTTTATTGTTTACATTCCGTCATTGTTGTCAAACTAGCATTGTGAGAGCAAATTTACTTTCAAAAGTAAATAAAAATTTACAATAGAACCTATTCGTAAAATTCACTGCTGATGGTGAAATACCGAAACGTATCTGACAGACCAGCGAGGATAGGCGGATCACATTTCAGGTACATAACCTGGAAAAGTATCACAATGATCATTAATGTAAGATGTCAAAGAAATAAAGTCTTGTCCTTTTTTAAAATAAAATATCATCGTTCGGAAAATATGTCAGGGTTATAAGCAGAGAAAAGCAAGTTGGTGATTTTTCTTCAATTTCCGTGAAGCTTCCCTATCCGATCTGGCAGAATAATTGATATTCATGATTTTTACAAGAAATAACGAGAACAAATGATAAAATATTTTTATTGATGTTAATGTACGATATGTAAAATTTTTTGGTGACTTTATATTCTTTGTAATTTTGGCCTGACACCAGTTGTTTAAATAAGACAAAATTTAATGACGTGGTACTCATAGTTTTTTAAAATTTTAGAATGGTTAAAAACCCTATAAACGGCACAAAGTAGGCATCCGTAAATTCAGTTAGTACTGTCGATACACAATAAAACGTTTAAGACGTTTTTGTCGATTTCAACCTTACTTTTTCATACTTTTAATGACATAAAATCTAAAGGACGTTGGTATAGTCTGAAAGAAGAGGAATCGAGCTTTAAAATTGTTGCGATATCGTTGGATTTGGATAAAATCCGAGGAGTTAAAAATTTTTCCTGCGAAAAAAGACTCCTGAAGAATGAAATTGCCCTGGCGGATATTTCATAATAAAATGGTCTATTTTCATATTGCTATGACAATTCGTATTTAAGGGTGTTAAACTGCGGTCAAAACTAATGTAAAATCTTGAAAAAATAATAGGCTGTGATAATTTTTATATATTTAAAAAAATCTTACAGAAGGTGTCTTTTTTAGATGGCCAGGCTTAATTTTTCTTGAACTAATGACGCTTTAAAAAAAAAATGTCAATTATTATTTAGGGGTGTTTAAAGTGCGGTCAAAACTAATGTAAAATCTTGAAAAAATAATAGGCTGTGATAATTTTTATATATTAAAAAAAATCTTACAGAGGGTGTCTTTTTTAGATGGCCAGGCTTAATTTTTCTTGAACTAATGACGCTTTAAAAAAAATTGTCAATTATTATTTAGGGGTGTTAAGGTGCGGACGAAACTAATCTAAGATCTTGAAAAAATAATAGGCTGTTGTAATTTTTATATTTAAAAAAAATTCTTATATAGGGTGTTTTTTTTAGATGGCCAGGCTTAAGTTTTCTTGAACTAATGACGCTTTAAAAAAAATTGTCAATTATTATTTAGGGGTGTTAAAGTGCGGTCAAAAC